TTTTTTTTTTTGGTCTTCTTTTTTTCTTTTTCAAACCAAGCTGGAGGTTTTGCCATATACCGAGTTTGGGAGGGGGTGGCCGGGTGGGTGCTACGGGCCGGTGCTTAGGACGAAGCCAGGGAGCCCAGATCCCCGCTTCTGCCGTTACCTCGCTGAATGACCTTGAATAAACAGCTCGAACTTCAATGCATGCCAGAGTTACAGTGCGTCTGTTTTTTTTCATATGTTCTTAAAATTATGTCCTGAAATTCACGCTTAGGTACCCAAACAAGCAGCTGGGCTTTCAGGGCTGCAGCTTCTTACTGATGCCAAGAGCAGCAAGGGGCGGTTCTGTTGTGTTAGTTTGTAAAGTGCACTCAGGTTCCTCCCAAGAACAGATTACAAAGTAATTACCGAATGTTATTAGTAAAATTGCTTAATTATACTAAGAATGTAGTGCTACTAACAAAGTTGAGAATGGAATGCCTCATATATATTTATAGTACAGTCTGTGCAGTTATTTTATACTGAGGGTTGGCTCTGTCTGTACTGCCTGGAAAGATCCTTTATGACTTCCTTAGAGAGGAATCTTCAGGGAGATGGTGCTACGCAGAAAGAATTAACTCATTAAGCTTGTGTCTGGTTAGTTTTTACAAGTTTATTTAGAAATGTATTTGTGCGTTTGAATACACAGTTCAATTCCTCTTCAGAACATAAGCCTAATTCACCTTTCTTCCTTTGGCAGTGGTGTTTTCTGACCTGGCTCCGTACAGCACTTTAAGTACAGGTGTAACAGGTGCTTTGCTGTGACGGTTAGGCTCACAATGTATTCAACTGAAAAATTTCAGAGATACAATCTCTTAAATATAGCAACATGTAGCACATGGCGCACATCAGAGACTGTGAGCATCTTTGGTTTTGTTGCAATTGTAACAAACAGAAGGGAAAAATTTGTTTTACAAATCAGTAAAGCTTGTTAGTTATACTGTTAGTACTGGTTTGTGTACATGTCTCTTGTATAATTAGTCTGAAACCACAAGTTAATCTAGACTATGTAGTACTTATTAGACGATAACAGCAAACTGGGGGGTTCAGGCTCTGAGATATTGTGTGAAGACCTTTTCTGTAAGCCTGTTTCAAAACACAGCCCTTCTTATCCCCAGTGGTCTACATTTCAGGTTTAAGGTTGTTTTCATCCTAGTATTCATGATGCAGACATAAATTTTTAATAGCCAGTAATTTTCCAATATGTTATTTTATGCACCATGATCTAAAACACTTAGACAGGAGGAAGAAAACAAGTTAATTATCATGAAGTGCTGTGCTGTTTGATTCATGCTAGTCAGCCAGTATTGTTTAGGCTGTGACTTCTAAAACTATAATCAGAGTTGGACAGGTAAATCGTTGACTTAGATTCAAGCAAAATAAATAAAATGACTACACCCGAATCTATGGATTTTCATAAAAAAACCCCTCAAGATCACTTGGAAATGTATCAGAGGCTTGTAAATACTGAGCATCTTTGCCAGCTGTCAGTCTGTAATCTTCTATTCTCAGTCATACAGGGTCACTGAAGTGAGTTTCTATATCTGCAAAGCCAACATGTTTTGTCACTGTTTCAAATTAAAGCTGACTTAATCAGATGCAAAATAATTTGCACTATTTTCAGTAATTAGGTAATAACTTTACTTATCTATCAGGAAAGTACTTGTCTATGGAAATAGGAGAGCTTTGGTTCTGTCAGGATGAAACTTAAAATGTAGCTTATGCAGGAGGACACCTGGCAGTGGGAATTACGGTCGCAGCTCGTAGGAGTGTCTTTGATAAGAACACAACCACTGTGCTGTTAAGAAACTTCTACCTTACTGCTCTCCAGCTAATACCATTGGGGAAGAATTTATAACTGCTCTCTCTGAGGAAAACAGAAGGTTTCCTCCCCAGGATAGCTTTTTCTTTGCTTTTCATAATTTTAGAATAACTACTCTTTAACTTACCATGCTGCAGAGAATCTTTTGTGTCTGGATGTGAGCAGGCCCTTTGTTACTATACCAAAAATAGATTTGGGTAAGTTGAATGTACTGTGACTGAGTTGTGAGTTCAGTAGTATCATTTTCTGCACAAAACCCCATCAGTTGTACAATTTAATCTCTTCTTCTTCCCCCTGTATTTAGCATTACATACAATTAAATAGACAAGTGCAGTGATACCAGCAAACCAAATTCTGTCATTTGGTTTTTGTGCAAGGAGGTTACGCTTTTGCACTTTCGAAGTAGCCAAACTCATTTGTGGAGACGTTGTCCTTTGATGACAAAGCCATGTCTTCTTGTCCAGCTCCTATCCTTGGTAGTTTAAGACTGAAGCACAATCTTTCTATCAAAAATACTATAAAAATAGTTAATTGCTAAATTCCTTTCTTTGTGCTTTCCTTATTTCTACTTACTAAGTTTTGTTAATGCAGTTTTAGTTTATTTTGAATTTTTGTTTGTTTGCTTAAGTGTTCTATATTAAGATTAAAACGTGTCAATTCTTTTCTGTAAGATAGAGTCAGGTTTGATTCTTTTCTGGACAAAATGCAAAAGGATGAAATGAATCCTAAGGTTTTACAGTAAAAGTAGTATGTGAGAATTGCTGTCGTCCATATTTAGTGTATTTAAGCAACAGATAAAAAGCCTTAATGTGGTCAGTTGCAAAATATTTTTTAAAAACTTCAGGATGGGATGCAGCTATTGAGTGTAACAAAACCAAATTATCTAATCTCTTGTTTTTAATGCTTTTGCAGCCAGAGTTGGGAAGACATCACTAATTATGTCCCTTGTCAGTGAAGAATTTCCAGAAGAGGTAGAGCATCCTTATTTGTTTTTAAAGTTTTATTTCTGTGCTGTTGTGTGTATATATATTTTTTTTTCCAAAGAGTAAGTTAATAGGCTTTGTTTTAAAATAACGTTTCGTATTTAGAAAAAAAAAAGTCTAGAACTGCAATGATGAGCTATGGAAGAGTGTTGTAAGTTAGTTTCTATATATCTGCATGAAGATCAGGAGTTTATATTTTATCTAGGTTACTTTATTGTTTTTCACATGGCTAATTAAACTAATTCTTTGATATCTGAGGAATGTTAGGTTTTTTAATGCAGTTGAAACTGGTCATAACTGGCAGCACCTTTCAGCATTAGAGACTCGTAAATGGGAAGATACTGAAACAGGCAAAACCTCCCTTTTTTTTAGTGCTGTGTCTAAAGAGCAAGTAGATTGCAGAATGAATGAGAATAAGGAATTAAAAAGCCGCATTCTATAACTTAGCCTTGGCTATTTTTTGTAACTGAGACATTGTGTTTATTCTATTTTTGAAGAATGTTTTACTAACTCTTTTCAAGTAGAAAACACAGAAAGCTTACTGCTTTCTTCCAGTCTGAAAGTAAAGCTACTTCTATATTCCTTAAAAAAAGCAGCACATAGCTCTCTTTATACCACGAGAACTGCAGCTGCTGCAGAGAGTTCAGCTTTTTACATATAAACACGAATGTTTATTTCTTCTGATCACAAGTCTTAAAATAGACATCACGTGCTGCTCTTTGAATCTACGCTGCGCTGTGTTCAGTGCAAATCAGTAGGTTACCGCAGTTCATGAGTCAAGATTAGATTGTTAACATAACTGAGTTTAGTTCCCAACTTTGCAGGTAAAAAGGAAGCTCCAGTCTGTGTTTGTTCTTAAACTGCTCAGGGACCTGTTCCGTTGGCAGCTTGTTTGTTGACGTATGTGATGAATCGTAGGCCTCTTCACTTCTCAGCTTCTTCTTGCAGGGTAATCTAGAATATTTCTGTAAATTCGTATTGAGAGAAAAAGTATCACTTTATATATAACACAAAAACTGCCTGGAGTTACAGAAGGAACTTTAAAAAAAATACTGCATCCTACGTGAACTGCTGAAAGAGACCCACAGTTCCTGCCGAGCTCTATGGCCGTGTGTAACAGACCCCTCAGACTCTGGAATAGTTTGTTATATACTGGGTAATATCAGTACTCATTCCTGTTGAAAATGTACGTAGAGCCTGAAGCTTTAAAAAGAGGCATTCCTCTGGTGATTAATTGGGTTTTCTTTTTTCCTTTTTTATTAAAAGAAAACAGAAGTATCATGAAAGTTCAGTGTCAGCAGGTAAAAGGCAATGAATAGCTGTGCGGGAAGTTTTTATGAAAATTAGGTTTAAGTTCATTCATCCTGAATATGGATTAGTATTCTCTGGGGGGAAAAAAAATCAGCAATCACAGCTAGTTTACAGTATTTTGCAGAACATGCTTTTTATTAGCATCGTGTTTCGCTTTGCAGGCTTTTCTGACCTTAATGTTTAGCACTCTGGCAGAAGCAAGGAACTTGTATTTTGTCTGTTATGCTTGGTTGCCTTATATTGTGTTGGGGTTTTTTTAACGGCTCTTTTACTGTTCACAGGGTTAATTCTTGTACTGATTTTATCAGGCTATCTTGTGCAAAAATTAAAACGTTTAAACATAGATTAAACAGCATTTGATTTGTCATTAACGACAGGCTAACTCTGATATTACTCTCCTGCTAAAGACAGTGTAGCCCTTTGAAGTAATTAATTGAATTTGGTAGCCTCTCCAAGTTTTAGAACTTTCATTTATGGGACATTTTTCTTTAAAGTAAATCACAGTTCAGATTTTGTTTACAGTTTTCACTCTTGTAGTAATTCTGTGTAGGTAGCTGGATGTAGTGGATTTGAGGTTTTTAGGAGATACTGAGTTTTATCGAATCCCTTAACAGTACTGCTTTCTTGCAAAGCATGCAGGAAGTTCCTTATTCAGCAAATACAATGAGAAAGTAGCAGTGACTCTCAGTACAGTGCAGGGTAAAAAACAAGACTATTTTAACTACTGATGAGTTTTTCTATTTAAAGATGGCACATGTATTACACATACAACTTTTTTTGAGCATCTGGAGTTTCTGGATTATCTCTAAAGACTTTATCTTGCTGTTTCTTTGCAACGCAAGGTTCCACCACGAGCTGAAGAAATCACCATTCCAGCTGATGTCACCCCTGAAAGAGTGCCAACCCACATAGTGGATTATTCAGGTAAGGACTGCACAATATCACTGTTTGACTGATTTGATGTAGCATTTGTCTTTTTTGATATATTCTAACCTCCTTGACCTCACTGAATAGATAAATTGGCTTAGTGTCAAGGTTCATATGCTATTATAAATACATCCAACTGCTGTACAGCTAGAAAAATCCTTCCACAGCTTCTTCATGGAAGCCAAGAATTAGGCAGTGTTAGCAGACACCTTCCTGTCTTCTCTCTCTCAGCACTGCTGAGGAAATCTTTGGTGTATTTTGAGCTTAAATTTATGGTGAGTGAGTTTTTCTTTCTAATGGATGAAATGTGTCATAGATTTGGTTAACGGGATAGCTTAGTCTTCCTGGAACAAAAAGTATCATCAACACTGCAATAAAATTAATACGTGCTGTATTCTGTTGTAAAAGTCTACATTACAGAACCATGTTGCTACTTGTTATTCCAGGGAGGGGCTGTTGATAAATGGAGGGGGATGCAAGCCGTAACTCATTCCAGAGAGAAGCTGTCTACAAATGTAACCATTGCTCTTTACAATAGCTGCTAAAAAACTTGAGTGTAACAGACTTTGAGTGTAACAGGCTTTGTCTTGTGAGTTAATGGATCAATTTCATTATTGTTACAGCAGAAGTGCTCTTTAGTGCATTCTATAAAGAGATGTTTAAATAACAAGAGCTGTCACAAGGCTGTCGTAGGAGCATTGTGAAATACCTTAGTTCAGTTTTTCAAGTTTTTTTGCAAAAACATTTAGTGTTAATGAATGGTTTTTTCTACTGAATGCAGAAGCAGAGCAAAGTGATGAGCAGCTTTACCATGAAATATCACAAGTAAGTGCGTTTTAGTGTTTAGTAGAAAATAGTTCCTGGTTTTGGAGAAATCTTTCCTTTTAAGTTCTCTGCATTAGATGGGCTTCAGTGTGAATTGAAGAAAAAAAAAAGCCTCTCTTGCTTTTCCTTGATTAGCATTTAATTTTGTTTTGTGTCCTGTCCTACAGTAAACCTTTCTCTAATTAAGAGAAATAGATACTGTGCTGTTGAACTGAGTTTAAGCTTTGTCCTTCCAAGGGAAAGGACAGAACCCAAGTATCATTTATTCAGGAGGCCAAGGGATTGACAGTTTTTGGAAAGAATTATTCCTGCCCTGCAGTTTTTTCTCTCATGTTGCACTATTGCATTTATGAAGAGCTCAGGATTCTTGGTAATCTTATAATTCCTTCTGTTTCCTGTTTCCAGTTCTTTCTGATCACCTTTGCATGTTTTCTCTATGGTGTGTCGTGGTGGTATCTTCCATTTCTGGCATTTAGTTCAGTACTTGAGTGCAGGCTGCAAATGAGGATTCTTCAGTTTAGATTGTTTGGTGGCATAGGTCTCTCTGCAGACATCAGCTGTGAATGTCACACTACAGGACAGGCTTTTTGGCACTTCTCGACACAAAAATGTAGCTGTTTGAGCTGTTGAGACTACAAAGAGCTTAAGTCAGGGGCGCAGTTTTTGACTGATTTCTTACTCTGATGTTACATATAGTTCTTAATTGTCTCTGCTGCTCTGCAGACTATAAACAGTGGAATTCCATGCCTTTCTTTTCTTTTCATTTTAGGCAAATGTGATTTGTATAGTATATGCTGTTAACAACAAGAATTCTATTGATAAGGTATGGTAACACATTTAATCCACTTACTGCTTGAGATACAACTTGTGCACAGTTAGTTGCCAGCAAGCTGGAAACTGCATTAGACATCTAAAAAGCTTAAGATGGTGTTTGAAATCAAGTTATAAAGAGAACGTAAAGATATGTTATTGCTTCTGATCTATTTCAACATCTGAGTTTTCAGTAATTTCAGTCATCTGACAAAGTTGCTCATTGATCATCTCCAGTTTTTATTAGTTTCCTCCTTTGTGGGTAAATATGTGCCTTCTTGGGAAAGGAGCAGTAGCAGTTGTAGTCGAACTTGTGCACAGTTCAGTCGAATTTGAAAATGTATTTTCATGTTTGTTTTTTAATCCCGCTTTAGGTAACAAGTCGATGGATTCCTCTCATCAATGAAAGGACAGACAAAGATAGCAGGTGCATAAGTAAAGATGAGAAATGTGAATTAGGCTGCACATCGATGGGTGTCAATGGACAGTGTTGAGGATGTTAATTGTTTAAGAAAATCAATTATAAACTTAAAGTTTTTATATAAGAAATCCGAGCAACAAGAGATTTAAAGTATGTAGGTCTGTTACATATGCCAGCAATGCTATTTATTTTGAATTTCATGGGCAGCTTTTACCAGGTGTGTTTATGTTTGTTGTGGTAAAACTAGCTTTGACTACATGATCTGTGTAGGTTTTCTGCTGATCCTGGTTTTGTGTAAAAAGAACACAATCAGTTACTTTTGTGGGTTTTGTAGCGTTTTCTGTCTAAATCAAAACAATTTCTGTAAAACTGTTACTGTTTGGTTTGCCTATTGGCTGCCAATGATATTTAATTACATCATGAAAGTAATATAATGGCTTCTGGTGGGAGGCAGGATGCTAAATTAAGATAGGTCTTTTTATCTCTTTGTCTTTAAAGCTTTTAACCTTTTTTTGTTTCAGACTGCCTCTTATATTAGTTGGAAACAAATCTGATCTAGTGGAATATAGCAGTATGGAAACTATCCTTCCCATTATGAATCAATATACAGAGATAGAAACATGTGTAGAGGTATGCAAGACTTTCTTAAGTTAGAATGAGTAATAAAATGTATTCTTGGCATGCATGTATGACAGCTTCTTAATAGAAAAGCTGATTTCTTTTTTTTTTTCTGGTCAAAATAAAATATTCAAATATGACTCATTATCGTGGTGAGTTTATATGTTATTTTTCTTTTGCGAAGAATAATACTACTATTGTATTATCAGATGTTACTGTAAAATTCCTCTAATATTTAGAGCCTCCTCACATCCTTGCCTCTAGCACACGTTTTAAATTTACTATTAAGCCAGACAGGTGTCTTTCTCAAAGTACTTAGAACTTTCTGATTTATCTGTTATTGGTATGACAGCAAATTGTAGTGAAACCTCCTTTATATAAACTACTGAACAGGTACAAGGACTAGATGTGTGTTTTTGCAAAACAGCGGGGTACCCACAAGAGGGAGGCTGGATCTTTAAAAGTTTGATACTTGCTTAAATTTTAGAAGAAATCACCAAATAGTCAAGAACTAGCTAATCAGTGTAAGGATTTCTCTTTCAGTGTTCAGCCAAAAACTTGAAGAATATATCTGAGCTATTTTATTATGCACAGAAAGCTGTTCTGCATCCCACAGGTCCTCTTTACTGCCCAGAGGAGAAAGAGGTATTTATACATAGACACTTAATAACAAATAATGTGGGGGGAAGTTAATCATGTTCCTGTTCTTTTTCAGTGAATTCTGCACTTGTTAGTGTGTTCTGTTACCACCACCCCACCTCCAAATGTCAAGTCTTATATTCCAGAACCATGGTGATTGCTTTTTATTGCCCATGTGAACTGCTAAGTAAAATGAGAAGCTTTGGTAATGGCTTTAAGTCAAATATAATGTGAGCAGAATCCTGTGTCCAGTTCAGTTCTCCTTTAGAGATACATTCCACAGTAACTCCATTTATTTTAGGGAAAATACTCCAGACTTGGCCTGATTTAAGAGAAAGAACTTTTCTGAGTGTCCTGTGTGCCTTTGGTAAAAGGGAGAAGAAACAAGTGATGTGGCTGTTTTATAAGTGTCACAGGTAGTTAGCTGAGTGTATTATGGAATATGGGTTTGTTTTTTTTAAAAAACAAACAAACAGGTTAATTTCATGGGCAAATGCAGATAAAAATATCTAAACGTAACCCCTGTGTAGTATTGGGCAGTAGGAAAGTTGCTTCGATCGTAAATACTTTGTCAAGTAGAGAACCAGAGAATAACCCTCTTTTGATTTCTCCCATCAGAATCATCTTTGTGAGTTAGTAATGTTGTGATAAAATTATTGTGCTGAAATCTTTTTGGTTTTCCAAAAACCAATCTCTGTGCACTGTGTGTGACCTCTATGAAGAGAAGAGTCCATCATCACTGTAGTTGTTGGGAGAGCATTACCAGTGTCTGTTTTCCTTCGCTCGGAAGGTATCCTAGCAATTCTTTTGTCATAGCGATAGTCCGTATGATCAATGCTTTGCCTCCTAGATGAATGACCCCTGTGAAGATTTTTTTCAGTATTTGATATTTGAAGCCTTCTGAAGCCATAGTAGAAAAATGGTGAATAGTGATAGTGTGCTTGTTTAGAAAGTGTTGACTGTAGTTCTAGAGTTGTTTCTCTTTGCAAGGCATTGGGATCGCAAGGCACTTTTTTTTTTTCCCCACCAAAACAATGTTCGGGGAAAAAAAAATTTAGTTTGCTTTTAAAACTTTCTGTAGCGATAAGATTGAATTTAAAGCACTGATGATTTTAATAACTAAGTAGTGCCACCTCAGCTTGTAAAGAACTTGAGGTTCTTCTCTTAACTGAGCAGAAAGACATTTGATGTGGAATAATTGCTTTAAAGTTATGGATATAAATTTGCTAGATCGAGATTTTGTTTCCTGTTGCTTTTGATTTTTGCACATGTGTGTATCTCTTCTGAAAATGTAATATGAAGGCTAGTGTGTATTTTAATGTGGTTGAGCTGCCTAATGTCATTCAGTGTAATCTTTTTATATTCCAGCCTACAAAGATACTGAACTTTGTTTTATTCCTTAGATGAAACCTGCCTGTATTAAGGCACTCACTCGCATTTTTAGAATTTCCGATCAGGATAATGATGGTACTCTCAATGATGCAGAGCTAAACTTCTTCCAGGTAACTCTTTGGCTTGTCTTTTCAGCATGCTTGATAGTTGAACTATGTAATTCTAGAAAAAAAAGATTGCTTTTGAAGGAACAGTAGTGTGAATTGTAGGGTGAATTGTAAGGGAACTGAGTCTAAATATTCAAAGTCTCAAGTGCAGCAAAAAGGAGTGAATCTGTAAAAACAGAAATAGTGTTAATTTTATTTCTAACCATTGTTCAAGTTTTAGTTCAAGAGCAAAATAAAAAAAATATGCCCAAATGCCTGATTTAAAAATAAAGTAAACTTTGTACACAGTTATTTCCTCTAAGAAACTGGGTTGTCCTTTGCTAGTGTATTGGAATGTTTAAGGCTGCATTTGATGCTGGACATGCTGTTTGTTCAGCTGTAGCCAGTGGTCCTAATGTGCTCTTTTTGGTTTTTTGTTAGAGAATTTGTTTTAATACACCACTGGCACCCCAGGCTTTGGAAGATGTAAAGAATGTAGTCAGGAAAAACCTAAGTGATGGGGTTGCAGATAATGGATTAACATTAAAAGGTAAGCCTTACTGAACTTCTAAAAGGTGTGTCTTTATACAGCTGGTAATCATTCTTACATAATAAAAGCTAATCTCTTGGAATACGGTCTCTATCTTGATTCTTTTGGACTACAGTAGCTGGGTGTAGTGGCAGTATAATATCAAAGGATGATTAAAATGGGGAATAATGGGCTGAATAAAATAAGGTCTTACTTCTCACTGCAGAGCCTGGAATCCAGACAAATACCCTGATTCAAAAGAAATTGCTTTCTAAATAAGTCTATATCTTGTTTCTGAGCTTACTATGTGCAGCATTTGTCAGCAAGGTGTGGTGTCTGTCACATTTTAACTGCTATGTTATACAGATTTGCTCAGAGCATATGGCAGAAGTGGAAGGAGAAAAAGCGCTTTCTTTCTGAGCATCAATGTAACTGCTTTGCTTGTGGAGCTTACATACGTAATAGGACTCGTGAGAAATCGTAAAGAGTGGGAATCCTAAGGCGTAGCCTTACTAAACAGTGAAATCTCAGTGTTCAGTAAACCCTGGAAAGTGCCAAACAAAAATCTGACCCAGTTATTTTGGCACAGGACAACTAAATAGTCTTCCTTGAGACTATTCTCCAGGCTTCTTGCTAAGGATTACTATTAAAAGTGTTGAAAATATTGTTGTCTTTATTTTCATACAACTGAGTTCTTCTAAAATGCTAGTACTAAAGAAGCAAACAACAAATAATCAAGTGGGTTATTTTAAGGAAATGTTATTTGTAAAAGTATCCTTCAAAAACCCATGATTTCTGAACCTTCAGTCTGTGTAGGTAATGCTGTAATGTCACCTAGCAGGCTTAAAAACTGAACACGTATTTCAAGCTTTTTTGGTTTTAGTCTGATTCCATTAAAAATATTTGTAGCATGTGAAAGTACTTCAGAGCTTCAACATTTCATCATTTGATTTTTAGGTTTTCTTTTTCTACACACACTTTTCATCCAGCGAGGAAGGCATGAAACAACTTGGACTGTTTTACGTCGATTTGGATATGATGATGACTTAGAGCTTACGCCAGAGTACTTGTTTCCTCCGTACGTATCACTTACTTCAGCTTTCTGTAACTTAGGTGCATTTAATCTCTACTGCCTCCTGCTTTGGCAGGAGGAAAGGGTTATTGTGTTGTTGCATCAAGTATCTCCCTTCTTGTATGACCTACCAGCCAAAATCTTCGCGTGACTGACAGTTATGAAGGAAGAACTACTGTCTCTTGCATCAAATCATGTGCTACTCTCTCTCTTTACAAGAGAGAAGGCAAAAGAGACTCTTAATACAAAACTGGAACATGAATCTGAGCAGCTGCTTATTGTATGTGGCAACAAATTAGAAGTCTTGTCAGGGTTTTCATAGCACTTGAGAACCTTTGAAAATCCAAAAATTAAAAAGTTGAAATTGACCAACTCTGACTTCTTAAAAATGTAACTACATAATTTTCCGTTAAAAAAAAATCACCAAAATCCAAACCACATAAAACAACCAACCAAACCAAACCTCTGATTATTATATATCTACGTATCATGTAATATAAATACATTACTAATAAAAAAGTGTGTCATTTGTTCTGTTTAAAGGTAAATTATTAAAAGTAAATGTAAAGGTCAAATACCAAATTAAAAAAAATCTGTATTTAAAATTTTAATATTCTGTACTTCATAAACACACTTAACACTTCTTGTATTTATTTTTGTTTTCAATAAACAGGCTAAAAATTCCTCCAGACTGCACAACAGAATTAAATCACCATGCATATTTGTTTCTTCAAAGTATTTTTGATAAACACGATTTGGTAAGCTTTTAATTTGTGTGTGTGTCTTTATGCTGAAGAGCCTTCCTTTGCTAGCAAAAAGCGTATTTTGTCCATTATGTTGTTTCATGCAGCAACTGTCTCTGGCTTGAGCAGTGCAGTCAAAACTAGCCTGCTGCTTTATTTCTGCCTACAAGGCGAGTTGGCAGTTACAGTTGTACTGCCTTTTTTTTTTTTTTAACTAGCTCGTGTATTTAGTCACATTTGAAAACGAGAAGAACAGCAATTAAAAAGAAAGCAGCTCAGTTTCTTAGAGCTGTTTTCTTGAAGCTTGCAAGCCTGCAATAAGAAAATAAGAGACGTGAATTAAATGAGTTATGTGTATTGAATGCTTGTTTTCAGGATCGAGATTGTGCTTTGTCTCCCGATGAACTGAAAGATTTGTTCAAAGTCTTCCCTTACATGCCGTGGGGGCCTGATGTGAACAACACTGTCTGTACAAATGAGAGGGGGTGGATTACATACCAGGGGTTCCTCTCTCAGTGGACGTAAGTGTGGTCGTTTCACGTTAGTAGTTGATCACTTTGTGTGTGATATTGTGTTTATAGATTCCTCTTAAAAATCGAGAAAGATGGAAGTTCAGTAGTTGAAAATTGACCCAAGCAGTCACATTCTTACAGCCATCCAGGGAGCTAACCTTCAGACAATTGTTAGAACCTGTTCAGGATTTGGCCAGTATTTAGGACTAACTGTGAAGAAATTCCTTTTCAAAGTTTCTCTGAAACTTTTCAAAAATACTTACTTCTGGTTTTCTACTCTTTAGAGAGGGTGTGAATAACGATGTTCAATAATGAGGGGTTTTTTCCTTTTGAAAATACAGAAAACTGGAAAAATGTTAATTATTCAGGGGAAAAAATTACAGTGGAGGTTGAGAGGCCTCAGCAAGTACTGCCTTCGGAGTGTTTTGCTGACTATTAAGGCTGGTAAAGTTGTCACCACTTTCCATCAGAGTGCTTTGTTCTTCAGAGCCAGGAATATCACGTCAGTCTGGCGACAGGAGGAAAGAATTCTTTTAGTACTGTAAAGAACTGGTATCACAATGCTGACAATTTAGAAACTTCTTTTTGTCCCCTCTGCTAGACTAACCACGTACTTAGATGTTCAGCGTTGCCTGGAGTACCTGGGTTATTTAGGCTACTCAATACTTGCAGAACAAGAATCTCAAGCGTCAGCAATTACAGGTAATTAACAAAAAATGTTTGGTGCAAATTAGGAATTTAAATTTAGAAACCTGCTCAAGAGCAAATTGTTTAAACAAATGGTCTGACATTTTTCATTTACTCTTTTTTTGCTTATGGCTCAAGTAAAACCTTCAAGTTTGTATTTGTGATTGGTTTATGTGCATTTTAATGTTAAATGGACAGTTATTTCGTGTTTTCACATACATGCATGCGTGTACATCTTGTGAAAAAATATTTGTGTTTTTTCAAAAGTAACAAGAGATAAAAAGATAGACCTCCAGAAAAAACAGACTCAGAGAAATGTTTTCCGATGCAATGTTGTTGGAATGAAAGGCTGTGGGAAAAGTGGAGTTCTTCAGGCTCTTCTTGGAAGAAATCTAATGGTAAGAAACCTTTTGCCTAAAGTCACCTCTATATGCTTTTGAATTAAGGTTTAACAGCAAAACCAATTGATCTTAGAGCTTTGCTGATGAATACTGAGTTTGGAGAATTCTTTGAGGGATTTTAGAATTATTAAGATTATTTTTAATTTTATTTTTTTTAGCAAATAGACAAGTGGCTGTTGGATGCAATTACTTGTACATCCTGGGTTATAGCTGTGCATTTACTTGCAAAATAGACCACTGATTACTGTAACTTTCATGCACTGATGAAGTAGAACATGTGGCTTAAAGGGGCAAGTTGCTGCGGTCTAACATGAAACTCTGCATTTTCAGAGACAGAGGCAAATACGAGCGGAACACAAATCTTACTATGCCATTAACACAGTGTATGTATACGGACAGGAAAAATACTTGCTGGTAAGGTTGCCTCATTGTCTGGGTATGACTGGTTAATCTTAAAATTCAGTGAATTATTCAGAGCCTTCTACAAACAAATTTCTCTCTTAATTGTCTCTTCTTTATAAATGTGGGTTCTCTCTCCTTTTCCAGCTCAAGTAACTTCTGGTTTTACATGTTGCTAATACTTTAAACTGAACCTGTTCAGGACCTGTTGTTTTTGAAACTTTGCCTTAAATTGCACATGTTCATGCTGCAGGGCATCAGTTTATAACGTATGATAAATTATCAGCAAGCAATCTACATATTCACTAAAGAAGAATCTGTCGCGTAAGGTGATTGGGATGGCTAAAGTTAATCTTGAGTGGGTGAAATACTTTCTTTAAAGCTTGTTCTGCTGTAGTTTTTTCCTCTATGATAATATGATCTTTTTTAGTTTTTCAAGATCTAGTCCCTCTGCTCTGTGGTTTTCCTCTGTAGGATGAATGCCAGTTTCTATGGGAATCTAAGACTTTGTATTAAAGTAAATGTAACTTTTTATATCAAGGTTGTGATTGCCTGCAGATGTTATGGTAACAGCTCGCATATGTTGTCTGTGTGGTAAATTCTTACTGTTTCTTTTTTTGTTAATCCTGCCTATTGTCAGTCCGTTAGTTCTAATGATGTATAAAAATGAGCCATAAAAAAAAGAGAAGAAAGTTACAAAATTCCTTTAACTGCATAATGGCAAACCTTTCTTCCCTTTTCATCCACCTTTTCTTCCAGTTACATGATGTCAGTGATGCTGATTTTTTAACTGATGCTGAGACCATATGTGATGTTGTCTGCCTGGTATACGATGTCAGTAACCCCAAGTCCTTTGAGTACTGTGCCAGGATTTTTAAGGTTTGTATAGTTTATATATACAAACCTTTACATTTATGTATCTTTTCACTGACCAAATATTCAGGGTCAGTTACTGGTCCTATACACAAATTCTAGTGTTTAAAAGAAATTCTGTTTATGAGTGCTGGTTATATATGACTGATGCATTAAAAATGCAGTTTTGTTATTCATGCAAAGCTATTATCTGCTTGTCTATATAAAATACTCTGCTTCTAGAAATGAGTGACTTCATTGTAATGAATATATCAATGCTGCTGCAAACAGTTCACCTCAGGCTGTTTTAGGCTGAATGTATTGTGTACTATTTCTTTCACTCTTTTTTCCTGTTTGACTTTGCAGCAGCACTTCATGGATAGCAGAATACCATGCTTAGTGGTAGCTGCAAAGTCTGACTTGCATGAAGTTAGACAGGAATACGGTATTTCTTTTGAATTCTGCAAAAAACACAAAATGCCTCCACCTCAAGCCTTTACTTGTAATACGGCTGATGTGCCGAGTAAGGATATCTTTGTTAAACTGACAACTATGGCCATGTATCCGTAAGTACTTGAACCGTTGTGTGTTTTCCTATTGCATGGGTCACGCACAGTACCGCTGCACGTCATTGTGAGCCACGAGGATGAAACTGCCTCACTGAGATTTAGCAACAGAGAGACATAAGTGACTTGAGTAGAATCTTCAAATTATTTCAAATTATTTCAAATTGATGAAGCTGGTATGCGTCCGACGTACAAGTCAGTGTAGACTATTGTGGCTAAGGTATTTTTTAAAGAATATTCTACTTTATCTAGCTCCTGTTACACATTTCAGTGAATATGTAGAGTCCTGTTGTGACCTAATTATGGATGCATAACTATGTTCATATTTTTGAAGATACTTGTGAATACACTGCACTGTAATCCTTGTTAATAGCTCAACTTGACAGCTGATTACAAGTAATGACCCTCTTTACCCCCAGTGCACTGCTCAGAGCTTTTTTTTTAATTTTCAGGGTGTTTATTGCTATGTGCTTCAGTTAATTAGTCTAATAGATCTTATATTTTTTAACAGAACTTCTCTATAAACACCTGGGCTTCACATAGAAGATACTTAAGCTCACATTCTTCTTCACTACACATCTCACTGTTGCTAAGCTCACTTTGCACCTTTTTTGGCGGGTGGAGCTTTTAATATGGTATTGAACTACATAAATATTACAGCAGATGGAGTCTAGTATGACAGCTGACATTTGCTTTAAATTAAATAGAACTAGTGTCACTTTCACCCAAAATAATAGGATTTTTTTTTTAAACATTTGAAACTGAACTTACCAAATTAAATATGTAAAGCTTTGGGGGTTTGTTTTTTTTCCTTCTCTTGTATATATTTTGTAGCACTGGAATACTGGGAAACCACTAAAGTTGTAGCACTGACCAAATGTCTTTGCCATATCAATATTCCTGCTTCTCCCTTGGTTTTCAAGCATGTTTGTTAGGGTGGGAAAGATAGAGGTGACTCACTTTGTAAAGTGTGCGTTCAGAGGGGTAGAAAATGTGCCTTACTTTCCTTTGAAAAAGGGGTGTTACCTATTGCTGTGCAGACATACTCAGAAGCCTTCAGGTGATTTCCTTACAAACTTAAACAAATTCAGCAAACATTTGCATTCTTGTTTGTGCTTTGCTCTCCAGATCTGTGTATGGTGGTAATGCCAAAATGCACAAAACAGAACATCTAACCTCAAAATTCTGCACAGCTGTAGTTGTACCCTTGCTTCCCCAGTGTATTTTTTTTTTTCTACGCTCCTTACCCATTCAAATGTACCTTTATTCCTAAATCCCTCTTGGTTGTGGCACAGCCCTAATGTGCAGCTGATTTTTTATGAGCAAGATTTCAACTCCTGTCCTTCTGTGTGTTTTCGCAGCCATGCCCGGTTACGCTGTATGTGCGCCTGCAACAGGTGTACATTTTGCATCTGTCAGAACTTCCTCAACTCAGACTTGCTGCAATCTGTAAAGAACAAACTCTTCACTGCAGTTCTTAACAGGTCCTTAACTTTATTTACTAGGTACCAGGTGTGCTTTTAAAATAAAGGTTTTTTTGAAAAAGCAGTTGGTTACCTTATATACTGCAGATTTTTCACTCCATATCCACTAAAGAGGCAGATACTTTAATAACTGTCATTAAATTGTCGAACTTTTGTTTAACTTGAAGGTACTTTTGGATCTTTTGAGCTTAGTCTGATGATTTCTTTGGAACATTACAAATTCAGTCATGATTCAGGCACTTCGTGATTGCAAAATTACTGTGGAGAAATTAGGATTGTGGGTTTTTTAGGGAACTGGTAATGGACATCAAGTAGTGTCTGTAAACCTGCATAATGTGTCTCACTTGAGATTTTATAGGTTTGTTTAGTATTGAGTAGAGATAGTGCCTCTTAAATATCAGTTACACAAATATTTTCATAACAGCACGGCTTGACTATGACCGCGTTTTATAACATGTTGGCTAGTTGTTTGATATTTGGGAATTAACAGAATTTCTCTCTGTGTGTGTTATGCTTGATTTGCACAAAGAGTGTAAACAGTCTAGGGCTTTTAACATCCAATTCCTCTGTCAATAAAATGGAAGTGTAAATGGTTAAACATTTGCAGACACTTTGCAAAAAGTGATACCTTGTTTTCAGCATTGAAAACAGTGCTATACCTTGTCTTGTGTTTTGATACACGCTTTACTAACACCGCAGCGCTTGTCATCTCACTCCAGCAGACGGGAGTTCAAACCAAACAATTTTTGTAGTGTAGTGATTCCGTGTTTTATAGCTTTCTTGGAGGCACGTGTGATAAGTGTGTTTCAGTTAGAATATCCTGATGTACTGCTGCTGGCCCATGTATGTTACTGCTTCTGTTTTCAGATGTAGCTGCTCCAAGTAAGAGTGGCTGTCTCCTTTAAATGCAGGTTACATGCACATAGGAAACATACTGATATGCCCACCTATGGTATTGAGCATCTTTTGGGAAATACCACTTTAGTCCAAGATAAAAGTGTTAACCACAGAGTGAGAGTTCAGAGAAGGGTGAAAACTCATTAGCTTGGGAAAAGCCTGTGAATATGAGGGAAACTCTTCATGCTGCATCTCTTCTCCAGCCGTCATCCCTTAGATAAAACTCCCTTGAAACAGCAGTCTCTTTGCATGTTGTCTCTCTAAGGCTTCATTCAGCAGTCGTTGCTAGGAAATCTCATCTCTTAATCCTGAGGCTGAAATCACCTCTATAAGACATCCTCATTTTTCGGAATGGTTTTGGGTTGCTGCATTAGCTGTCGTGGCTTTTTTTTTTTCATATGGGCCCATGGTTTTTTTGCATCCTGCATTAGATATTGTGCTTCATTCTTCTTGAAATATTGTCAAAGACTTGAGGTACCAAAGTCTTTTTATGAGAAGTTTTGGGATGCTATCATTCTACACCCTGTCACTAGATAATGTGGAATAAGCACAGGAATTTCCTGCTGCCTAAACAAGTTTCTAATTCAAGGTATGAAGAATTCCCCATAGACTTTTCCACTAACTGTACAGAAAGAAAATAATTATTTGCTAGAATCAATATGTCTGTAGTCACGCAGTTAGTCACTAGGGTTTTGTTGCAGATTTCCAGCATGCTCGCTTCATCTCACCAGCTCTCTTCCTAGTTGGCTTTTCAAGGGTGTTTCCTTCCTGAACACCCAGGGCTGCAGGTTATTCACCATCCAGCCTGTGCAGCAGAGCTGAGACACCTGTGAACAAGATGGAATAGCTCCAAGTTGTGGGGTGAGGGGCATAGAGATGGTTTTCTTGTTTAAAAATGTTGTCTCCTCGATGCACTTTTAATCTAATGGTTTGTGATTAGAGAAAGCCTTTGAATCAAGATTTTCTGATGTAGTTATTTTATGTAACTCTTCCTATTTTGCCTTTACAAGAGCTTGCTGTTAGGTCAGGTAGTTGGGCAAAAATCAGATAACTGATGGGGGAAGGAGGTTCTCTGGAGAACTTATTTTCCTGATCCCTTCCTATTCTGAAGCTTTAGTCAGTGGAAGCAGGTAAACTGACGTTTTTCACAGTGGACCCTTCCTGTCTTCTTTGTTGCCACGTAATGCGTACACACTGTTAGGGAGGCACACCACAGAATTACATTAGGATCTTTCCGCCTTAGTAGTTAAAGGCAGAACATTGTGCGACTGGAAAACCAGTTCGTGCCCCCCGTCACTTTCACTTGTAGGGACAGAGTGCAGAGCCTGTCCCAGGGCTGGTGGGCTCTCAGAACGGCCAAGCCAGCAGCCGGGGCAGCTCGGCTGGAGATGTTCCTTGTGCAGGAGCGGGATTGTTGGTTTGAACTACCCAGGATCGCTGTCTCGGTTCTTTGAGGAGGAAGGCACTGCATTCCCAGCACTGTGCATGCGTGTATGAGACTTGTTATGATCGTGTGGTATTTTTGTGTTTTTAATTTGTTCTTGCCTTTAGGTATTCATTTGTATTTGTCTGGCTGGCACTTAATTGCTTTTTACTACGTTGTTTTACCTCTTTTTAAAAGCAAGGTTTCTGCTTGTGTCATTCTAACACTTTCCTTAACGCTGAGCTTGGATTTTTGGTACTTTTCCCCCCTTTAAAAAAACAACAAACAACTCCAGACCATCAATTTTAAGTTTGGTTTGAAATCATTCACTTGTTGCCTTTTGCTTGTACAGTAGTGGCATTTTTCTGTCAGTTAATTTAAAAATAAAATAATTCTAATGCATGAGAATTGTGCTGTTCGGTGAGGGAGACTTAACTCAGCATGTTTTTCCTCTTTCTAAAGTTCTTAAAATATTGTAGAATATAAGTGAAGCTCTACTTGCATATAGAACATGGTGGGTTTTGGGAATTGTTTGTAAGGTTGGTTTGTTTTGGTTTTTTTCTATAAACCCTTCCTTCTGTGAAGTTAAAGACAACGATTTCATTTTCCTTCCTTCTGTGAAATTAAGGACAACGATTTCATTTTCCTGCGATAATGGAAAATTTCTAAGTGTATAACTCAGGGTTTCTCTGTCACGGTGTGCAGTGTATGCAGATTGTTTTTTCAAAGCAATTAGTATACTGCCATTAAATCTAATTGCACAAATCTATCCTCACCCTTAGGTGTCCCCCAAATTAGGACAGTATAGCAGTATTTTACTTACCTATTTTCCTCCTTCTCTAAAACTATTTAGTGCCCTGTACTGTGTAGAAATTTGCAAAGCTGCATCCCCTGGATTCTTTCCAAACAGAATATATTGAATTGGCATTTTTAAATTCTTTTAGGTAATCAGATGCACTTGGAGCTTCTCACTTTTTAGCTGACTAATGCATGGGGGAAAATCCTAACTGCTGGAGTTGGTTTGCATCGTAGGAAATGACGTGCCTGAAGGGATGCTGCAGCAGCTTGTGCATGTTACGTGCTGGTTTTGGAATTCACTTGCTTATTTTTCATTGTTAAAACCTATTTTCTGCCAGAGCAGGCTGCTGCTGCTTGCTCACTCCATTAATTAACTTGCTTGTAATTCTGCTGTGAGTAGCCGTGTGACTGGCCTGTTGGCCTGCCACTCTGCTTTTGAAATGCCTGTG